TGAGAAGCATGAGTAAAGGATCTCAAAAAGCAAGTTTTCTTGTTCATATTTACAAATGGGTTCTCACTTCTAGTGCCTTACTCCTTGGATTTATGCTCATGGCCCCTTGGTATGGGAGAGGACAGAAATTTTGAAGGCAGTAATGACATCTTCTATTATACCAATTGAAATATTCAGAATATAGAAAAAATATCAGGGTCTTGAGAGGCTTAACTGCAGGATGAAGAAAGTTCAGCCTCTCAGGGACCAAAATGAAAAGAAAGGGCAAAGATGGACAATTGTAGTATCCTTAAACTCAGTGCCTTCCTCTATACTAATAAATTGAACAGTGCCAGAGGTTCCCAGATGCCGAGTATCATTTTGTTTATACTGCCGTAGTGGTGTCAGTGGCATGTTTTGGCCCCAGCCAACTAACACTCTACCAGACAATTGCCATGCACAGCTTGAAAGTTAACAAGGACCAAAAAGCTTTGGTCTGTAAGAGAGGAGAACAGCAGCTAAAGAGAGAGCCAGTCTGTGCTAGAGAAAAAGTGTTGGGTGCATTTCCCTTCCTGGTATAGACATGGCAGGGGGGCTGGGGTGAGATTATCTTCAAGGTCCTTTCCATCCTGAACTATTCCATGTTTCTGTGATGGGCATTAGCTCTCCAGTGTGTTGATGCATTTTTGTCAGCAGTCCAAGGTGGACGGTTGTGAAGCTGTTGCATGTTATGAACTAACCAGGGCTGAATCTAATATGGACTTGGAGAAGACCATTTTTGGTCATCTTATTTGCTTCTGACCAGAAGGTTTGGCATTACTTTCTTTTCAGAACAGGTCATCTCTCCATCACACAGAGTGTGTGTCATCATCTGTATAAGATGAAACAATCAATGTTAGTGGTATTTTCATTTGTTTTCTATTGCATAATAATTTTTCACCTGAAAACTGTTCCTCGTCATGATCTTATTTCATATTTGAAAAGACTGCAAATAGATGGGAGTGGCAGCGGATAAATGGGACTCCTTTGAAATTGTGACACAAACAGAAACAAAGAAAACAAACCAGCCCCTAACCATTACACTTCTGAAATTTCATCATAATTCCTGAAAGGAGTTTTGTATCAGCTGCTTCCAGTCTTCTGGTTGCCTGCTTGGTTTGGGGCCACATGCCTTGGACTACATCTCCCATGGTGCTCCTGCAGGTGCTGCGCATCCTCTCCCTCCAGGCAAGGGGGGGCTGATGCCTAAAGGCAGTCACCTGCCTTTGCTGAATCACGGCTGATGGTTTCCCCTAGGAAAGCTGTTTACAAGCAGACATTTTTACGCCTAGTGTTTTGATCAAAACCCTGTATTTGCAATCTTCCCAGTCCTTCGTGGCTTCTAAAAAAAGCCAGGCAGCTCAGGTTAATGGCTTGAACTCTTCGCTCAACACTGAATATCCTCTGCAGTGGGGGGAAATGCTGCTAGCCCCAGCTGATAGGTAGGGAAACCGAGGCATGTCGTCTAATCCCTGGTGAATAGCACGGCTTGGGAGCAGAGTCCGGATCGTGTGCCCCCTGCCAAGTACGCCAGAATAGGTGACTTAGAGGTGAAAGGCTGCAGCTGTGAGGCCGCCTTGTTTAGCTGCGATTAACATTCCTGAAAAGCCTGCCCAGGCTTAGGTCAGGTAGTGGTGATTTGCTGCATGTGAAAGTCTTTATGCAAGGCTTTACATGCCAGCATTAGCCAGCTCAGGTGCCTCCAACTCTGAATTTTAATTTGTATTATTCCTCTTCTGATTTAAATGAGCAAAATTCCTAAATGTTTTACAGGAATAACAGAGGGATACGTCATTTCTTGTGGAAGAGATGAACAGCCTGGTGCTGTAAAACCTCACTGTGGCACTGAACAGATCTTTTTAAGAAGAAAAAAACTGAGCTGAACTTTCTGATTCAATTCCCTCCTGCACTGGCACAATAGAGCAGCGACTGCTACTGCATCACCCAAGCTTCCCTGCCTGCAGTGGTTTTGCATTCCTGTCTCCAGTCAGGAGGTACCTCCCCTTCTAACGCAGCAAAGCTAAATTTAGCCCCTGCAGAGTGCACGTTTCCTATATTTAGTGTTCTGAAAGTCAGACTTCAGCAAGTAACTGGCTAACTATGAGGTGCTCTGCAGTCCAGGAGACAGAAATAGAAACACAGCTAAGTGCCTCCTTGGGTTTCCCCCCCCCGGCCAGGCAGCAGTGACAATGGAGGGGCCTGTGCAGGGCTGGATTTTTTTTTTTCTTTAAATATATTATCAGGGTAGTTATCATGGGATTCCTGAACGTGAGCAGACAGAGCTGCAGTGCTGAGTGGCTGGGAGGAGGCTGAGCGTTGTGATGGAGGCAGGCTGCTCATGCTCTCACAGCCCTGGCAGCCCTGGGGGCGCACAGAGGCGGTAGCTTCGGGTGCCTGGTGCAGCATCCCCAGGTGCCCAGCCCTCTGCAGGTGTCATTTAGGCTGCCTTTTACTCCTCTGCGGTGCAGTTTTATACTGTATTTGTATATCATATCTGCAGAAATGGGTGTGTGTGTATACAAAGAAAGGGCCTGATTCTCATTTACCCAAAGCTTGGCTGGTATCAACTTGGCAAGATTTGCAAGGCCGTGTAACATCATTTGCTCAGCCAAATGATGCATTTGGGGATTCTCTCTTTGGGTCCTGCATCAGTGCAGGTGATGCAGACCACAGGTTTCCAGGGGTGGAAATGTGTTGTGTCTCTCGCTCACTTGGCTCCCAGCGACGTGGCTGAGCAGGGTGGGCACGGTGGCACCCCGCCTGCAGCCATGCTCCCCCTGTGAGGCTCCGCACCCGTCCCCGAGCACAGCGTGCACCGCTAGAGGGCTCACACACTGTGCCTCACGGTGTCTACGAGCAAATTGGAATTCAAATGGTAAGGGGTGCTGGCACTGAACGCCTCTTGTGCTACCAGGGGGGTTAACGGGGTTAGTATAAGCAGGTATCCAGTGATCGCTTCAGACTGCCTCTTTGTACTGCAGGCCATATGATTTAATTCCTTTGGGAATCTGAAAGCATCTTTTGGACAAACATCAGATCAATTTGGTCAAACAAAATCGCTGTTGTCCTTCTTTCATTCAAGTCTGCAGAGTCTGCACCTTGGACAAGATTGGATTAAAGTTTGATCAAAAAGCCTGCTGCATTACGGAGACAAGTCCCCATCAGGGTATTTGAAGAGCCCTGTGGGAACTTGTTTTCAGAAGCAATGTAAATGCTGTAGAAAGAGAAGTATAGAGGGCTGGAAAATTCCTGAGATGATCCCTTGCTGTTATAGCCATCAGGTCATGCAGTGGCAAAACTTTTCTAAATTGAGCCTGTTCTTTTCTGAAAGTAGCCACAGCTTTTTGCCCCCCTGTACTTCTCCTGGAAGTCTCTCCCAGAACAGCAGAGGAAGAATCATTTTCTGATCTCTAGCCTAATGTTCCTGTGGCTCATTTATTCCCATTTGTTCCTGCACCATTTGTCCTTCATTAGCTCTTCTTCCTCCCTGATGTATCGCGTCTATAAATATACCTGGAATAATCATGGTTTGTGCCAGCCTTCACTTGGCTGGGCTAAACAAGCAAAGCTATTCAAATTGCAGATCCTAAAATAGGCCATCAAGCCTCAGGATGTCAGCCACGAGGTACAAGTACTTCCTTTTTCACCTTCTCTTACCCCTTTGTCCATTAGAGAGCCTTGGACAATGGGGTTACTACAGCATGGGGAAAACTGGCCACTAGGTCTTATTTTGAAGTGTGGGCTGGTCCTTGGAAAGGGGAAAATGTTTCTAGCTTGGTAGCAACATCCCAGACTGGAGTGAGCACTACATTCCTTTTGCCTGTCTCCTGGCTGAGTTTCCCTGCATGTAATGAGTTGCTGTTGATGGCTTTTGACCACTTCTTTGAGCTGGACGCAAGGAGCTGGCAGGGTCTGAAAGCTGACTCTGTGCAGCAGTGGAGAAGAGGGAAGCATCTCTGAAGAGCAAGGCTGGGTCCAGGCAGCAAAGCAGACTGGTGGCTGAGAACAAACTGATGAGCAATCAATAAAGGCTGCTGTCTGGAGTCACAAAACCTGAACCATCCTGGGGTAGGACTGGTTTGCTGCACGCTGCTGCCATGAATGGCAGGCACAGAGATTACCCTGTGCTGCTCCAGTTCTGATTTCCCTTATCTGTCACCCGTAAAGTGCACTCTGACTTGGGTGTTCATTTGTATAAACAGTTATTAAGCATATCTGCAAAAGTGTATCTATCCTAACAGCCTCTGACCCCATGTTCAGGGCAATGTTTTGATCTAAAAAGGGGGAGAGGGGGTGTGGGGAGAAGAGAGGGCATTGGTCTAGGTGGAAGCCTAAAGCTGCTAGAAAGGAATGGAAATGGAAGGGGTTTCCATGCTGAAGGTAACTAGGGAAGATGAAGTACTTAAATGAAGTAAAAGCTTCACTGCACTTAGAGTTAATGCTGAATTGCACTGGTCTGGGAAAAAATGCTGAAAGGCAGGAACGTGGCTTGGCCTTTGCCTGGACTTACAACCTGCGATGTTTCTCTGTATTGTGTGGTACCAAAGCTGTGGTGAAAACCAGCTCTGCCCAGCTCAGTAGGCAAATTCCCAGTGACTCTGAGGCCAGGATTTCCTCTCGGCATGCTGTTTGGTAGTGCCGTTCTCCTCACAGCTGTAGCCAAGAGATACAAAACGGTGATTTTTCCCGTTCCTAGTTCACCTGCTAACTAGCTGCTGAGTACTAGTTTCCCGTTTTCTGTCTCTCAGGTACTTATTTCTGTTGCCAGAACGTCTCCCTCCCTGGCAGGCAGCGTGAGAGAGGATGGCACCCCTCTCTCCTTCCCCAGATGGTCACTGCTGTCTCCTCCTCACCCACCAACTGCCGAACGTGAAAAGATTCATGACACCAGTGTTGACATAGCGAGAGGCTGAGAAATTCCCTGGCTTGTAGCGCTGTCCTCAGCCCGACCTTCCTCTTCATCTATATTTTCGGTTGCCGCTCAGGGTGCAGGGGGAGGCCGTGAGTCACGCTGGGGCCGATGACTCAGATTTCCAGTCAGGGCCCGAGGTGTGCCGCGGGTGGCTGCAGGCTGTGCCCGAGCCCTGTGCCCGGAAGCTCAGCAGAGGGGAGGACTCTCTCTGTCGGGGGTACGTGCATGGGTTTTCCTTACACTGATTTCTAGCCCCCAGTTCTCTCCATTTCACTGTTTCCTCCCTTGCCAGTAGCTTTTTGCTCCCCCATGATCCACTTCTGCTTTGCGGTTCCAGAGTGAATCTGCCTGTTTTCCATACGTGCTAACGTTTTCTTTTAACATCCTGTATTATTTTGCTCTTCAGACAGAGCACACTAGTATTTGCTGTCTGTATGCATTGCAGCTCTGTCATGGCTCGGCCAGCCTGTGCCAGTGTGCTTTGGGTTGTGCTAAGAAAAACTGCATCCTTTTGAGCACACAGTTGTTAAAGCATACGTGCTGCTGTGTGTCATCCCTCACAGCTGGTATCACCGGTGGGTAAACGGGCTGGTTTCCAACTGTGTGTCTGAGGTTGTTAAAGTACCCATCCAGGCCCCATCTGAAGTTTGCGTACCATGCACAGTGCCTGGCTGAAGCTGCTGCTAGGCCCAAGAACTACTCACCTCCTCCTGTTTGAGACTCACCTCATCAGAGTACAGCATCTAGAGGCGGCATGCATGGGATCGTGGGGAGGAATGGCAGCTGAGAGGCTGTCCACAGCTGAGGGAAGGCTGCTCCGAAAGGAGGTGGAGGCAGTCTTGAGATGGCTGGTGAGAAGTTGCAGGAAGAGTTCCGCTTGAAGTTTAAGTCCTTGGTGATATTGGAAGGGCATCTTAATGAGACAGGTATATAAGAGGTGTGTGATGGGGAAACTGGAACAGAGGAAAGTATTGGAAGGTAACAAGTAATTGAAGTAACCCTTCTTACTTCAATTGAACTAAGGAATATCATAACATTCAAAGGCACCTGAGAAAAACAAACTGTTTGTATCATATACTGCATGGCTGAGGTGTTGGCAGTGCTTCGTTGTCACTCTGTGGCTTTTAGTTGAGGTTACAAAGAAACAATAAGGGGGTAAGAAGTGTTTCACCATGACTGAGTTCACCATGGAAGAGTTTGTAGAAAAAAAAAAAAGTGTCATGGAGAAAAACAGAAAAACAAATTATGTTTTCCCCAGTCTTTTCAGTTTCTCCTTTACTTGTAGACCGTTTAACTAAAGCACACAAAGGGAAGTGATGCAAACAGATTACAGTCTAATTCCATCGTGTTCTTTCTCTGGTTTCTTTCCTTTTCCCCAAATTGAAATAAAAAGAGAGAGGAAAGGGAAAACTAATTCATTCTGGGGCTCTTCATTAAAAAAAAAAAAAAAGTCAAATTTTAAATATTATTACAAATATTTTCATATTTTATTTTTTTTTAATGTAGCCAGAGGTTGTTTGTTGGAGAAGCAAACAAGAACAATGTGAATCGAAGCTTGCAGACAGTCTGTTCTTGACAGAATGAAGCAATGGCTCCTCATCTCTGCATACAGCTTTGCTACAGTAGATTTAAGGATGCAGTATACATAAGGAGGGCATAACTGCTACACCATTTACCAAAATGCAGCACATCTCGCATTTTGTGTGATAGGTTAAAAAACTTGTATGTCATCTGAGCCAGCTCACAATGGGTAATAATTAAGGAGTTGTTAACAGATTACCGAGGAAGTGAAGTTGTTTTGCACCCTTTTCTCATCTTGAGGTCTAAAAATGTCTATCAGATCAGGAAGCGTGCATATAAATATAAATATAAATATAAATATAATATAATATAAATATAATATAAATATAAATATACACATACATATAGATATAAAGTTCTCAGATCAAAGTGTTCCTACTGGAAAAAAAGATTTGCTGCAATAAAGTAGCTTCTAAAAAAGTCTGGATAGTGGCAGTGTTACTGGAGCCAAGCCCCCTGGAAGCTGCCAGCTGTGTTGTGTGTCTTTTGGCACCTCTGTAACATACGTAAATAGCTGGAGACCTTTCTGCAGCCAGGAACAAGTGAGATGAGAAAAGGCTCTGTTTCTAAATTTGAAAAGAAAGCTGTAAACAACAGGCATGCTGATTTTAAGTGTGCTAGGGGACTTCAGGAGTCTGCCCTTTGATCCTCTCTGCAGACAAGGTCAGCCTCCTCTCTGTTTTTTTGTAAACACAGACAGTGCCTGGTCTGGGATGGCTCTTTCATGAAGACATAATCCCAAACAGGGAGGAGAAAGCTTATCCCAGAATGATCAGAAGCCCCAGACTCATACCCAAGCTTTGTTAAGGCATCGCTTACAAATTGTTCAAAGTGACTGCTTTAAAAATACATGCTCCTGCTTTGCAATTCCTCTGCTTAATTGTGCCTCTGGAAAGGTCAGGCAAGATTGTTTTTAGGAGAAATCAGAGCAATAATAAAGACCTCAGGCTATGCGTCTCCCTGCTGGGCTATGTAAATGGAAGCTCACTACACTATAAGTGATAAGGGTCCTTATGCTACTGCTGTCCGGGACCACCATGTTTTTGGTATCTGTCCAGGTGGATTTGTAACAGATATTAGAAGTCTTTGCTGTTCCCTAATCCTGTTTAAATGCCAGCCATATTTCCACCCTCCATGAAATCTGCACAATCCCAACAGTGGGACACAGGTTCTGTTGATGGTAGCTTTAACCACCGCTGGTCCAGTCAAGGGAGAGCATAATAGTTTACTGAGATGCACAGAGCCATATGCTGAGGAATCTTATCCCAGATCTCTGTTATTTAGAGTCCATGTGTCATTTTAAAATGATAAGGTTTATTCCTAACTTAAAATTCTTCTAAATTCTTCTACATTATTTTGCAGAGGTGTTTATAGTATTTCACATTTCTGCAGAGAAACACAGTCCAGCAAGATAAGTGTGAATTCTTCTGGCCACAGCATTGTGTCAACAGCATTTTAGTTCCTTTCAAAAAAAAGGTTGTGTAGTACACAAAGAGCACAACTGAAGGCAGTGGCTACCTAGGAGGTATTGTGAGTCAGTGAAAACTACAGCTGGGTAGGCAGCTGCACATGGTACATTTCACACCTCATCTGCTCAGAGCCACTAGAATAACTTCAGTTATTCCTTCCTGCAGGCAAGGTTGTGAACTGTAGAGAAAACATAAACTAATTCCTAAACCTCCAAATTGCTCAAGGTGCTTCAGGTTACTGAGTCTCTGCATTTTGCATGCATCTCTAGTACACTGAGGTGACCCTTCAAAGTTTTGGACAGTTTAGAGGGACTCTGGCTGCAGGCACTTCTTGTTATCTTTGCTTTGCTAATATATTTCACATACTATTCTTTTGAGAATTCTTTAGAGAACTATTCTTCGTTATTTCATCAATTTTCTACTTCTATCTTTGCAAAGACGCTTTTGCAGATGATCGATGTTTATGTCTTTCTTTCATTTTGGATATAGACTTGATGCAGCAGAGAATGAGTGAGTTCTATGGGCCACAAAAATGTTCTTGGTGGCACTTTGTGTTCTGTGGTTTGTGACGGTGCTTCTTCCTCCATCTGCCCAGTTATGTTTACCCAACTGCTTTTTTTTTTTTTCCATCTATAGCATTCTTGGAAATGTCATGACACTGTTCATTGATTGTACCTGTCACCACAAGAAACTCAACTTTATTAATTGTATGTAATAATGTCTAATAACATCCGCAGCATCCTCTGGACACCACAAATGAGATCGGCTTCTTTGTTTCACAAGGGAGCACTGTTCTTTCTGTTTTATAGACAGAGAATAGGGCCTTGAGGAGACTATCAGGGAAACCATGGCAAAATGGGGTTTGTTTTCTGAAGTCTTTTTTATTATTCTAGTCAGAGGACAATCCTTCCTTGTTGGCATTTCTCTGGTGCCATGCATTACAACTTGGTTAATTACCAAGTAGTGTTGTTCCTCCATGCGAGAATATTTTGTTCCCAAATCTTCATAACTTCAGGACACAAGAAATAACTGTACGGATGAAAGAGCTGTTACTTTAGAACAGCCATTGAAATGCACATAAACACCCTGCTGAAATTGCTCTGGCTATTTGCATATCATTTACATCAGTAAGAGGCCTTGGTAGAAGTTTTTAGTATGAAATCTCAGCTCATGCTTGTAGTGAATGCTGATACCAGTTGGAATAGGTTAGAGCACTGCCAGAATTCTGTTCAGCTGAGTTACACAGTGGTAGTGGAAGTGGCTGAGGGGAAAATTGCCTTAGGAACAGCTAATGGAAGATGCTTCTTTTCACCTGTTGCATAATGATTTGCATCCATTCTGTCTCCTCAAATTCCCACTTCTAATGGCTTCCTAAGGTACTCTGTGCTAGGCATTTGGAAGGCTTCAATTACATTCCTGGTGAAGAGTTTCAGTAGTAGCATAGCTGCTGCCCTGTTTGTTTTTTCCTTATCAGAATGAGGAAACTATTAGGATGGTGGGGAGGCAAAGCTGTTCTCTGGGTGTGGGGCTAGACTAAAAATGTCATTGTGGTGTGAAGGAAACATATCTGAAGTGCGGAAAAAGAGACTTCTGCCATCTCTGTGACACTGCTCTTTAAGGTGGATGCTTTCTTTTTGCTCTAACATAATGAGTTGCTAAGTGACTGACATCAAAATACAGAGACGTATCAAAATGATATATACAGCTGCATTTCAGACATTTAGTGCAACTGCAGAGAAAACGATATGCAATGATGCTTTACCAGCAGAAGTGGATGTATACATATACAGGTTGATCAGATCTTGAGTAGGTAAATATTTGCTCAGTGTGTTGACCTGCATGAAAGTATACCAGTTAACTATAGCTGATCATTTGGCTAGAGGTTTTTTAATTTTTAACTTAAAATGCTCAGTTAAGTATAGATTTAGTAGCTGATATTTATTCCATGTTATTATTTATTTCTAAAGCAATTTAATTTCTGAGGTCTAGTAGTATAACAGAGCATTTAGTTAACAGAAGACATCTAAAAATCACCTTACTAGTGTTACTGTAGGAGCACAGCTCTACAGCTTTCAATCCATGTCATAGATACAGGGTGGAAATTTTAAAATGTCACATTTACTAATAGTATGGGTTTTTTTGTTTGTTTGTTTTTACAAACTTTCAGACCTTTTCCCAACTTTTCCAACTTTTTTTTTTTTTTAAACAGGTGATGATTTGAACAAATACTGAAAACTGAAAATAGACCTCAGCTCCCAAGGAGTAGAGTGGCAAACAAAGGCATTGTTATTTTGCCATGAACTTCATGTAAGAGCAGGAAAAAAACTCTCTGTCACTCTGCTGTGGCTTTCCACTGACGAAATGGAGGGTAATTGCACTGCCTTGTCACCGAGAGGCTTGAGCAAATATATCTGGTTGGTGATGATGAAGGACAACAAAAATGAAGCCATGTAAGTAAATAGTGAATGTTGTCAACATAGGTTATTTATATATTTTCTTTTTTTAGTGTACATGCCTCCTGCTGTGTCTGTTGTAACAATTTATTGTGGGAGCCGGTCCTTTACTTTCCAATATACCAACCATGCTTTTAAGCTCTCAGAGTCAGGGTCTAGTTCCCAGTTAAAAAAATACTGCCGTCTGTCTCTAGATTTATGTGTCAAGATTTTGTCAGTGGGGGACTGTTGGAGTGACCTCTGTGAAAAGAGGCCAGGGTGCCTCATGCTGTTGGCATGCTGTCAGCAGTTGGAGTCAGCTGACCCCAAAACAACTCATGTAGGATGCGGCTGGGCCCATCAGCAAAAATGGTGGCACCTCTTTGAAAACATTTTTAAGAAAGGGCAAAATGCTGCACAACAGTGAGGAATGAGGGAAGAAAGTGTGAGAAACAGCCCTGCAAGCACAAAGGTCAGAGCAGGAGGGAGAAGTGTTCCAGGCACCAGAGCAGAAATTCCCTTGCAGCTTGTGGAAGAAACCATAGTGGAGTAGGTGGATATTTCTTGAAGGAACTGTGATCCTGGAGCAGCTTGTGAACGACTGTGGCCTGTGGGATACACCCCCATGGGAGCAGGGGCAAGGTGTGAGGAAGGATATTTTATCCCCCAAGTCTTTTTGAGGACAGGGAGTGAGAGAGCAGCCAGGTGGTGGATGTCTGGCAGCCAGCCCAGATCAACCCATCACACTATCATTGGATTTCAGTTTCCAAGCACATCACTGTGGCTTTTCTCTAGCTCCTTGACCTCTACCTGTCAGGTAAGGAAGGTTGGCTTACTGAACAGCTGTGGCTTTTGGGCTCTTCTCTTCATTGTGTCTCTGCTCATCACAGCTGACTGTGTGGAAGGGGAACTGCATCAGGTTACGTGGCCATGGCCACGCAGCTGTGCAGCGCCCACATTCTTGCCATCATCGTATCCACTCCTGGCAATAACATGCCCCTCTGAGGTTCATTGGACCAGGCAGTTTGTAGACCTCAGCACTGCGGTGAAGGACAAGAGATTTCTATTTGGAAGCTTTTCTTCATGATCCTACGAGACCACATTTTGAGACAAGATGTTACAATCTAAAACTGTAGTCTGCAGTGAGGCCATGTTCTACAGCTCATTCTTCCACTCCAAAACTGTTATCAGCATCTCGAATTGAAGGTACACCCAGTTCAGAAACTGGGAGTCAACAAGGTTTGTGGGGTTAAAGAGGGATATAAATTTAGGGGCTAATGAGTGAGAAAGGGAGTTGATTCTTATGTGTTTGTCTGGTAATTACATGGCTGTCTAAGTGAATACTCTCTTCTGATTGACCAAAAGTAATGAAATAATGGGCTTCACTCATCCTTGTGGCTATACTGCTTTATTCTTCTTTCAGACTGATAGATGGTCTGTTAGAATGAAAAAGACATACTTTCAGTTCATTTTCTGAACACATAAGTTGGCTTGGCAACGAGCGCACCCTGAGGAAGGACAATATAATGGCTTTCTTGCATAAGGACAGTACACCCATGTAAACACATCTTTTTTCTGTGTTCTCAAATTTGCAGCTGTTGTTATACTGGTAGTGCCAAAGTTTTTTTCAGTGGTTTGGAAGTTATTCTGTTCTTACTGGGCTCCTGGCTTTCTGGAGAGATGCACGCTTCTGAGCAATCTAGACGGCTTCCCTTGAAAGTTGCATTGGAGAGTTATTCACTCAAAAGACTGCTCTTCTCAGCTCTCTGTGTTTTTCAAAGTGTTAAAAAGATTTGTGATAGAGAAGTGCAAGGAAATGGAGTGTGAGTGGAAGTAGATTCTTGTCCTACAGAGTCAGGCTCTCTGCATGATACAGTCTCTGCTACAACAAAGGACTAGCAGGATCCTGCTACAGACCTCTTCCCACTTGCAGTCTGAGCATTTTATTACATGTAAAATCTTGGCTTTTTCAGTGGAGTGGTTGCTGATGCTGAGGTCCCATCTAAGTTCAGGTAAAGCCCATGGAGCAATTCTATGGAGTCCCAAAACTTTGGAATGGGCATCCTACATTTTAGTAAGTCAAAAAAGGAAAACCAGAGTCACACCCAAAGAGTCTCTCTGGGTAGGCTGAACATGAGAAATGGCAATATGGCAGAATGGTGTAGAGGTTCACAGAAACAAGCATTTTGAGAAGAGAGGAGAGGGGATACCACCTAGCTCAGAGGAGAAGGTAGTCGGAGGATAAATTTGAAGGATGGAGGGCAAAGCTTTACCTGGTAAAGAATGCTGAAGAATATTCTTGTGCAATTTTATTTTGATGACTGACATGAAGGTATGGAGACAAGCTCAACAGTTAGTGTTCACCTACCAACCAGCCACTGACGCTGTGATGCATTACAGAGGCAGTCTATGGTTTAGAGAAAAAAAAAAGTGATTTATTGAGAGCAAAACATCACAGACCTGTGCAAAGATAGAAGGGGAACAAAGAGACCGATGAATTTGCAGCTTCACATTCCCAGCAGCCTCATTGCAGAACCTGCCTTATTTAAGTGAAGGGTATCACATTTTTACACACAATTAGATCCCTAAAGATGCACAGAGGTGCCTCATGGCATTCTCGGAAGTGTCTACACATCCTACTTAAGGGCAGTAAGTAAAGTAACTTTCATTTCCCTACTTGCACTTTAGATGCTTAATTTTTTAAAAAAAGCTAATGCTAGGAGGCCACATATGTCACAGCTAATGTTTATTTCATTATTAACGTGTACCTGTGGCCATGAATATTGTTAAGTATTTTCACCATATTATTCAGAGCCTTCATACAGCAGGATTATTTTAAAATGGGCTGTATGTTTTTAAGGAATTTATAAAGATTATTTTCTCCTTACTTCCCAGTTCTCATATAAAATGAATAAACAATAAAGGGCATTCTGATGGTGACACGTAAGTTGTTAATTGGTCTGAATCCAGAATTATTCCTCTCATGGCACCTACTGTGATTTCCTATCTAAAGAATTCTTGTTCTCTTCCTGAGAGATTTGATCTCCTAGTGGTTGCTTAACCATGCTTCTCATTGTAAATATTGGGTTGGACTGGGCATGGAAATGAAACCTCACAGTTAACAGAGTTGAGCAATCAACAAACCAAGCATGTATGTTGCAGAATGCTCAGGTTGAGATATATAGCAAATACAACAAACTGTTAAACAGACATTTTTCTTCTCTCATTGCTACTTCCTTTGCTTTTCCCATCTCCCTCCTTTTCCTCTGTTATATTTCCTCTTCTTTCTCTTTGCCTTCTTCCTCCCTACTCTTTTATACTTTGTCATATATAGGCCCCCTTGACCCCAAGTAGGCAACTACGTTTCTAGACCTCTATTCAACACAGGACTTAGACACAAAACTAGGCTAGCTAGGTCAAGGTGGTAGGTCCTAACCTCCCATTAGACATATCCTGTAGGGGAAGGAAATATAGGGAATACTGGTTACATTGACACTAGAGGAAGAATCATCCCTTTTTGTAGGCAACCGTCAGAAGTGCAGGGTGTTTTCTGCGTATAAGCACAGAATCAAATGCATGTTGTTACCACAGGCAATGAAGAAATCTCGCAAAAATCTCTGCTGACATCAGGGGATCAAAGAGTTAAGGACTATTGCTGTAGCAATTGCAGACATTAGTGTGAGTTTAATGAAGAGAAAAATATATGCCTTAGGGTGCTGGAAAACTACTCTTTAATTATTCATCTGTAGGCTAGTTTGCTTGTCAGACAAGAAAATCCATCTGTCTGAGTTTTCAAGCCACGGTCCAATTTTTTCAGGAAATTTAAAGCAAAATACAGTATCACCATGCTTGTTTAAAGGCTATTCTTGCATTCCACGTGTTCTGTTCTGAGGTGATGATTTGAGAGGTTTCTCATTCTCCTGCCTCCAGCCAAGGTTTCCCATATTGCCAGTTTGGATCATACTTGGATGTGTGTGTATTTAAGTTCTAGTTTTGCTGTGAGGTAAGTTGAAATGCTTATTGCTGGCAGTAGTGAGGTGCAATTAGTCTTATTAACGCAAGACTATAACTCCTATTGGCCAGAAGAAAAATAACTGTGATGATGTCCCTAAAGTTTGTTAGTGAGTTTTGGGTGTTTTCCTGTGATTTATATCGTCCCCCAGTGCAAAACCATCTCGAATCAAGCCATGCAGCCTCCGCAAAGTCTCCTGAGTGGATTACTCATATCACAGTAATAGCTAAGGTCATAAGAGCCTAACAGGGAACAAAATAAATGAAAAAGACAGAATAGCTTTATGAAGAGCTGTGGTGGCAGGTAAGTGGTCTGCAGCACTTGATCACTAATAGCTGTGTACAGCTGTATCTCAGAAAGCAGCATAGAAACTGCTGCTGCATGAAAATGCCAGGCTCACAAGTGGGATTTTGTTTTTCCTGTTGGATGCATTTGGTTGTTATTTTGAACTGTGTGCTACCCTGTGGAATTAGCTCTCTCATCTGATCTTAAAAAGAGTATTTAGACTTCAGAATTGCAAAGAAAAACAAAGGAAAATTTCCAGGAAACCAAGCAGGCCACTTACTTTCCTTAGGGGACATAGGGCAGTAGGGTCTGCAGGCAACTCTGGTTCATCAGCCTTCCTGCAGAGGGGAGACGAACCTCTGCAGCGCTTTCTTGTACTGGAGCTGTGCCTGGCAGCATTTCATTGTCCTCCATCCACAGAGTTGGTTCCCAGAGAATTGGCTTGAAACACGGTGCTGCTTGAGGTATACTTAATGTCCACCAAATTGCTCTTTGGCCCTCAGTGGTGAAGAAGAGTGGGAATTTGTGGTTGAAGTGTGAGTCAAGCTCCAGTACAAGCCTGGGAGGAGGCAAATGAGCCTGAGAACAGGCAACAGGGTTTGTATTATAATTAATGCTTTTGAATAGCGCTGGGTAAGAGTTGCTTTTTTTTTTCTGTAAAATCACTGTGGGTGATGGCTTGAAAATGCAAATGTTCTCTTGCTAGCTGGCAAAAAGATGT